AGCTTGTGGAGATTGAAGTCAGCAAATCAAAACCCATGAAAAATTATTCTTAATTAATATGCAAGTTGATTAAAAATACTTATAATCACAAAAAAAAAAAAAAAAAATACTTTATGTATCCATATAGTTATACCTCTGGAGAAGCCATTTGGATCGATTCATTGCACAAAACATATCCCTAGAGATCTTCCTATATTATTTCTATCAAGACATTCTTCATAATTAATTACTATTATCAATTCATCCAAATGTCTACATAAACTGTTTGATCGGAGAAATAAGTCAAAAGGCTATCCCAAAATATAATTTAACTAACTATTACGTACTCATGTCGAATTCATTACCTGATTTTTCTTTTCAAATTCTTGAATTACATGCGGTCTCTCAGAGAATTTTATTTGGAATATTGGATATAGCTAGCAAACAACTTCCTGGATTACAGAGGTTATAATAAAATGAGTTGACTTCCTTGACTGCGTGTATAATTAATCAAGTTGTTTCATACTCGTCATGATGATCTTCTTGTTGCAACTTGCATGGCATATTATTAATTTTATGGACGTTTTGGAATGTGAAGAAGATGGAGAAAAGACACCCTATACCAAGCTGGCTTGTCACATTCCTCTCATCCCACTCCAATTGTGGTTCAACAATAACAACGAACAAACCTCAATCCCAAATTAGTTGGGTTTTTTTAAATTGTGCTACTGGTTCTTTTTAATCTCAAAAACTGAATCAAAAAAATAAGATTTTTTTCTCACATTTATAATCAAATATCTATCTTTTTTCAAATAAAATAACTTAACTGTATATAAATCCCATGTAGCCCTCTTCCCCTCTTTCCTCCTTCCAGTACTAGCTACCTGCTTATCACTTTTCGAAATCGGGGTTTCTAATGGGGTAAGGCTCGTGTATGAACCCGTCTAGTTGGAAAAGACGACAAAATTAAATCATACTGCTACCAGGAATGATGATCATTCTCGTTGTCATGTGCGCAATCATGTAGCGTATCTATATTGCATGCTAGCTAGCCCTTATTTTTTTTAACCTGATAAGCCATAGAAGCACCAAAATGACAAAGCCAGTTGGCGAGAGAGGACAAGAATACTAACCATTATAGAGGTCTGAACGTCCTAGCTAGCTATATGATACCAATATTGTGTTCAAAACTTCAAAGCAATTGAAGTTCCAAGGTATTAATTATGGATATTGTTGCTTCTAGGTCACACACCCGTGCACCTAAGTCAGATGTCTAAAGCCTATTGTCTATCTTACACTTCGATCGATATCTACTGTGTATCCCTAGTATTGTGATTGGTATGTGATACTAATTTATACATGTACCTACAGCTTATACTAATTTATATACATCGCTTATCTTGCAATTAATTACTTCTCACAAAACGTTTTGTATATAAGTTAGATACTCGATTGACAAATATGAAGGGTCAATATATAGACACCATAATGGAGGTTTGGCCGACTTGACGTACGTAGTTATTGCTTTTGTAAGAATTAAGGCCTTGATTGATGAAAATGGCTACGCGTGATTATCGGGCAAGGAACACACTACTGCTGAAGACTGCATTGATCCTGATTGACGAAATTTGTATGGTCGGGAGGATTAATTGATCGCCACTTTCCATATTACGGACCCACATAGTTTGGTGTTAATTAATCATTGATAAACACTAGTAGTGTTATATAATAAATTTTATAATACTCAAAGAATAATTAGTAGCATGTGTAATAGTTACGTTATAAATCCACTTTAAAAAAAGAGATAGATACATAAAAATGAGAGAAAATTACATTTCAATCAATAAATTTTATAATACAAAATGAGTAACTAGTGACATCTACAGTAATTACTCTATGGATCCATTTTGAGGAGAGACATAAACACATTGAATTACATACTGGACCCATCAAAAGTGATAGAAAAAATTTTACGTTTGCTCAATTTTTTTTCTATCTCATGTTTCTCTTTTCTTTTTTTGTGTCTATCTCCTTTCTCAAAGTGGGCTCATGGAGTAACTCATGTGTTATTAGTTACTCTTTAGTATTATAAACTTTCTCCATTTGAATCCATCAAAAGTGATAAGAAAATTTTTACGCTAGTTCAATTTTTTTAAAAATTTTCTTTCTCCTATTTCTCTCTTCTTTTTATTTATCTATCTTTTTTTCAAAGTAGATTCATAAAGTAACTTATATATATGTTACTGATTAATCTTTAAGTATTATAAAATTTCTCGTGTTGTATAAACTCACCTTATTGATATGGCAGTCAAGGAGGTATGCTTATTTTCTTAGTTTTCTAAAAAGTCAGGTATTCCTTTGAAAAGAAAATTCAGTATGTAACCATGTGCTGAACAAACCTCTTGAACATCAAATTCAAGTCATGAGGTAATTCTTGAACGCCATCCAAGAGAGAAGTAGTACTGGCTCTTAATTTGGGGATGCATTGTTTGTTGACTTTAACTAAGAAAACATGTTCCTAACACCTCGTGACATACATAGGAAATAAGGATACGTCCGGTTTCATCTACAATATGTCCCGTGATCATTAGAGATGAAAATGAATTCTAGCAAATAGCTAGCAGGCAGCTAGTAACAAGTAATTAATTAAGTTGGAAACATCCTAACAAGAATTTTGGTGTCCTAACAGTATGTATAGCAAGGAATATTAATTAATCAAGCTGCAATTACAGACCATAAAAATAAGGGCAACCAAAGTATATGCTTTGCTTGCAACATTGTATAAGAATCTTATTTATTCTTTTTTTTGCCGGCCCATAACAGCCTCCACGTTGTTATTATTATTTTGAAAAGAAAAACATCCGACAAAATAAGAAGAATTAAGAAGAGCACAAAATCTTAAAACCGAATCTCGTATCTTTAAATATTTATAAATATACCATTTTATTATATGATGAAAAAGAAATATTCATAAATATAGATGATGCATACATTGATATAAAAGGAAGAAGCAAAGCTAGTGCGAGATATGGTCTACGTTCAATCATGCATTCATCAACGCACGACTATTTAATTAGGTATTGCACACTTATGCATGTATATATATGTTGGGACAATATCCTTCACCTCACGCAAAACGTTGAGGTGTTTTCACTCATATCATGTTTTCCTTTCCCAGCTAACTTTCAGAAAAAAAATAAAACAAGTCTTAATTTGCAAATAGGTTGATTGATATATTTATGGAAACCCATCTTTAATTTGATGGTGATATTTTTTTTAGATTTTTGTTTCAATGTTGACATTGAAGTCCCATAATTCTAAAAGTGATGGACAGGCTGTTAAATTTGCCTGTCTAGAATTGTACAACCTCGGTAGCTACTTGCCAATCACTCGATCTTATGGACCTAACGTAATCCTAAGCTGAGCATGTGCATTCAAACAAAAATAAATTACTACATGTTCTTGTTTCCAGAACATATCATTGAATAAAAGGATGTCCATTCATTTGTACTTGTTTCAAATGCCTACCCCAACTACTAGTATGGGATTGGAAAATCCTCTCACTAGCACATGGATATGTTAATGATTCTGCAAATCTTGAATCAGGTCAACGTCAGTGTCTTGCAAGATTTTATGGTAGCTATAGCCTATAACAAACTGAAAACGTCTCTAGTTGTTGTCCTGTCCATGTTATATCTATTATGAGAACCTTGACCTGGTAAAGGACTTGGATCTTTAGTGGCTGTCATGCAATTGCATTGCATTAATTTACCTCTTGATATTGATTTCTCTTTTGTCCAACACAAAATCACCTTGTGGGTTGGTAAAAGTGGATTCAGAACTTGCAGCTAATAGCTTGCTGGTTCAAGTCCAAAAAGGATTTTAAGCAAGTTCTTTCTAGGCTTTTCTTCACAGGCCCAAACAAACAATGACGTATATGGGTCTCGGACTTCAATGTTACATTAGCGCTAACGCATTTTGTTTTTTATCCATATAATTCATATACTACCCCTCAATATTAATACATCTTGCTCATTTTTATTTTTATTTTACGGTAAGTATATTCTCATGTCATTTTATGTGTTAATTGAAACTTTTTTTTTTTTCGAATAATCTTAAGAACATACATTCACATCAAACATTCAAAAAAATATTAAGGCTAACAATGTGTTGATCCAAAGCACCTAGGGATGGTAATTTACTCTGCCCCGATGGAACCCCATCCCATCCCGATCAGTGCAAGGATTTTCCCGAGTTGATTGGGGAACGACGCGGGGCACCTCGCCACATATTAATTTTGAACGAGAGATGGGGTGGGGATGGTATTTTCTCACCCCGCTCCATCCCTAAAATTACAATTATACATTATACAAAATTCATGACTATTGACTCTTATGGTTTATTTTTTATATAAACTATTAATTTTTTATTATAGTTTGAAATTTAATGGTAGAATGGAATCGAAACAAAGCAGAGAAAAAAATTAAACAAGACAATGATACCCTCCTATGAAAATCCCCGTCCCAATTTAGAATCGGGATAATATGAGAAATATTATCCCGTGTGAGGCACAAAACGGAAACGGAGCAAAAATTTTAAAGGCGGGGCAGGGCGGGAATGCCCACCCCACCCCATTGCCATTCACCCAAAGCATAAGTTTCTGACAAAATTTATCTCCTCTAGAATTCTTCTGGCACCTGTCTGGTTTGCTGGTTAATTTCCTTCGAGCATCAGTCCTTTCCACTAGGAATCAATTAGGTGAATCCATTCCAAGGAAAGGGTCGCCATTTTTATGAATTAAGTTTTTTTCTTTTTTTTTTTATGATGGGAAATTTGGACTCAATGAATGTCACATAAATTCCGAATAATCATGTAGCTAGCCATCCGAAGTGCAATTATCAGCTGAAACATAATTTTAAAAAAAGGTCATGAGCAGGCAGAGCAAAACTAATATAAACAACTAGAGGGCCGGGTACTTGATCACGAAAATTGCTTTTATATATGCTCAATAAGTTTAACAACTATAGCTTAATTTCAGACTTGCAAGTGGACTCAATACTCAGAGAACTAACAGAGATAGAGATGTCGCAGGTGCTTAAAGCCGTTGCATCTAGTTTCAAGATTTTGAGCACTTTCACTTTCCCATGCATAGAAGATGTTGATGCCAAGTCAAATCTCCCGGCTATAAGATCTTGCATAAAATAAGGATTTTCTATTAGCCTATCGGCCATTAGGTCAACAGAAGTAGTGATGTTAACCTTGGCATGTGCTGGGATCAAGTCTGCTTGAATTGGAACTTCTCCCACATTGACTCCATGGTAATTAACGTAAGCTGTACTGTTGGTGAACTTGAAGCTACCATAATTAGGGTTGTCGATGCTGATAATCATGCCTAGGGTGACATTTAGCGTCGCGTTTAATTGGATGTTCTCGAGACCAACTGGGTTGGCTATGATAGTGGGTTTTTTAGGCTTGAATACTGTAAGTGCTAAGGTTGTGAAAATACAAACAAGAACGATGATGAAAATTGTTGTCACGCCACAGCAAACTTTGAAACTTCTCAGCCGGGCCATGAAGTTATGTTTGAGATTGAGAAAAATATTGGCCTGGCCAATGGTTAATTGTAATTAAGTTCAGGCAATAATTAGAATTTCTCAGCTTAAAAGAGAAGATTGTGCTAGGAGATTGAAAATAATGGTGAAATCTAGCTAGGAACTGTGGTATTTACGGGTAGAGGGGTGGTGATGTTGTCGAGCAATCCTGTTTTAACATAAGTTGAACGCTAAATATATGGTTTTTATGGTGACGTGCATAAGAATCTGTCCCCTTTGGACAAAAACCGTCACCAACTGCGTTACGCAGGTTCATCATGTTTATTTGACATTCATTTTGGATTAAAGATTAGAAGAACAGATGGGACACTATAATTATAAAACAACCAAAGGAATTTCGTTGTTTTTGGGGAAATTCTGGTAGTTGTAGTCTAGCACAGAGACTACAATTCATTATTCAAAGGTGCAATAAAAGAAGGTTAAATTATTCAAAAACAACATTAACTTTCGATCTTTCCGATCAAACTGGTACTAATTAATAACCTTCCGTTTTTTTTTCTTTAATTTAACTACTGTAAACTATTATTTTGGTAAAAAATAGATTTTTCCATCCATGTTTTCATCTCTCTATTAATTTTCGCTGCGAGATAAAATCACGGTCTTAAATATGATATTTGTAAACAGTGATCCCATAAAAAACGAGAAATTTTATAATACTCAAAAAATAATATTAAAAAAATAGCTAATGACATGTACGGTAGTTCATACTATAGTTCCACTTTAAGAAAAAAGATGGACAAAAAAAAAAAAAAAGAATCGGGAAAGAGAAAATTAAAAAAAATTGAGCGAACGTGGAAATCTTTTTATCGTTTTTTATGAATTCGGATGTAATTTTATGTGTTTATCTCTCTCCTATAAGTGGATTCATTGAATAATTACTATACATATCACTAATTACCCCTTGAGTATTATAAAATATTCTAAAAAAAACAATTTTTAAAAATAATTAATATGAGGTTTTCTTTTCTTCTGATAAAGACTGATTAATATATATTTAATTTGGTTTAAAATTATTAATCATCAGTCTTTATATAGTCGTCCTCTAAAAACAAGGTAACATCTTCAGAATCATTTCCTCCTTTACGTACCACTATCAAATTAATCCAGTTACTAGATCCACTACAAAAATTAACACCCCCCCCCCCCCCCCCCCCCTCTCTCTCTCTCTACACATAGAAAAACAAAGAAACCATAGCTAGCAAAATCTAATTTTTGTCTAAGCCACGAAACAAGTTTAGCCACTGCGCTATAATAGAAATACGACCTACATCCCACTGGCACTGCCACAACGATTAACAATCTCTCCGTCTACGATGCCCATCTCAAATTGAGCTAAACAAAGTGTAGTGAGATCTAAAAATTAGAAAGTTAGTGATTAGTTTTTGCAGATATCAAATTTCTTTGTTATTTTTTTCTATTTGTATAATACAAAAAGCTAGGTTCCATGTGTGTTTTAAAGATTGAAACTTGATCGAGATTTAAAATATAAGACAGTTTTGAACTTTTTAGCAATGGATTTTGTTTTTCAAAACTTACTCGTTGAGTTCTTGATTTTTAAAAGTGATGTAAAGAGATCTAGAAAAACAAACGAACACTGAAATCTAATAAATTATAAAAGAGGAGGAAGTTAGTACTGATTAGTTAATTGTATCGTAGATTGAACCAAAGATTAGGATTTTTTTAATCATTTAACCATAAAAAAAAAATGTAATCATAAGTTCTCACAAGTCCATTGGGTTTTTCGGCGGCCCATTTTATAAATAATAGTTTCATCAGAAGAAATTCGGACAAATGCCTTTTCTGCAATTTTTCCTTCACTGTTTTTCTCGTTTTTCCTTTTTATTCGAAGGAAAAAAGATATTTAGATTAGCTTGTTCATCAATCAAAATTAAGCCATCTCCGCACAATTTTAAAAAATATCCCTACATCTATATAGTATTTTCAGAAAAATTTGATGAGCGAAAACTTTAAGGTTTGAATTTAAAAGGTTAAAGAAAATTTTGCCTCTAATTTCATTGTTAATGAATTTAATACTTAAGATGAACGTCAAAATTACTTTAATAAAAATATATAATATTAGTTGCATAATTTATTAATTTATTTTTTATGTTTACTCTTTATTTTCATTTCTTGAATTATTTTGAGTACATATATACATATTGAAAGAAATTTTGGTTAGCTAATATAGCCCCCCAAAATCTAAGTTAACCTCTGCCATTGGTGGTAATTATAGTTATTTGTTGTGGTTAAGAAAAAAAAATATTTGGTTAATATAGAAGGTTATGTTAAAACTAATTAAAAATATATTATTCATTAAAATATACATATTATAAAGTTTGTTCTAAAAATTCCAAAAAAAAAAAACGGTGGAAAAACTCCAAAAATAAGGCTTTTTTAGAGCCGGTGTTAGAATATGAAGTCTATATGAATCTCATAATTAAAAATTAATTACCAAATGATAGAAGAGAGAGCGTTTAGCATTTTGACAAAATATCACGGCTACTACGTTCTCCAAACGAATGCCTAATTACAATATCAATCCTTTAATAAAATTATTGATCCAAATGAATAATAAAATTGTACAAGTACTAAGCTAGAAATAGTTGAAATTCTTCGGATGATTATTTAATACATAATGTTTCAAAAATAAAAATTCACCCTTTAACACGACATCTATATACAGTAATTCATCGAAATAAATGGTTTTGGATTCAATTATTAAAAGAATGCGAAATTTATCATAATCTTATATACAAGCTAAAAAACCAATAAATAAACAAAAACTGAATAAAATGACCTATTTAACCATACTTATAATAATTATATTAATAAAAATAATTAAATACAATAAAAATATCAGTTGGAATAGGGATAGGATGACAGGTTATGAGATAGAAAAATCCGACAAATTAAATAAAAACGAAATTTAATTGGATTGAATGATATTAGGTATCGAATCTTTTTGTTATGTTTTTTTGTTTTTTTGACTAGTAAATTAAACTAATAAGTTATTGACAAGGGGCAACTCAGTCTGTACCACACCACACCACATAATAATAATTTCATTCACTAAAATTACTTTACCCTTTCCCTTTCTTCTCTCCATTCTTCCATATCTTCCTACCATCTTTTTTTTTAAAAAAAAAAAAAAAAAAAAAAACTTATTCTTCATACAATTCCACCAACACAAAGTCGGCATTGATCAAATAATAATATTAATTTTTTTTAGATTTACTCTCTTTGGATACTAAATTCTAATATCATCAAAGGACAATTATTACAAATGTACAAAATTCACTAAAGCAATGCTTTTTAATTTTTTTTAATTTCGAATTTATATATGATTTTTTTGTGGAATGATATTTTTAGTATATATTTGTTTTTCTTTAATGCTATGCTTTATTGTCTATGGGTAAGTAACCAAAACAATGAATTAGTAACTGTCTTTGGAGAAGTTACTCTAATTCATCAATTTTTTCAAACGTATCTTTCATAATCAACATCATTTGTGACTTTTGTAAATGACATGAACAACTAAAGGATACTAAAATTGCTATAAACTTACGCATTTGTTAGAGATTGATGAATTGGAGACTAACGATGGAGCAAATCAAAGTAGCACTTTAAAAAGAAGGTGGAGATGTTGGTACTACTTATAATTATATGACTTTTTTTCAACCTGTGTTTACCTTACACATGGTGAAATAGATTATAGGAATCACAAATATGCTTCGTCATGATATATAACAAAAATCTCAAGACATTCTCAGTGTTGTACGATTAGTGGCAACTATAAAACAATTGGTTCAACAATTTAGAGAGAATGAATGGGATTTTTGCTTGAAAATGTCCAATCATTTTTTCAAAAGCATCACACTAAGACTTTAGTGCTTCTTATACAGCACATCGAGATCGAGCAAAGGACAATCAAGACCAAATCACAATTGAGCATTATTATCAAATGGATATTTTTCTACTTATAATAGACAAGTTCCCAAGAATGCTTATAAAGCATTTAATATTGATGATATTCGCAGTTTTGTGACAAAAATACTATCTTATGAATTTTACAGAGCATGAAAAATTATTTTGAGATTTCAATCATAATATTTTATTCTTGAAGCACCTCATCATTCAAAATTAAAAAATCTTTGTGCAATGGCTGAATTTTGTCAAGTATTAGTGAAAACAGAAATCAAAAACATTTTATTTACTTGATAGATGGCTTGTTCTTGTATTGACTCTTTCTATCTCTATAATTACTAGACAACGAGCATTTTCTGTAATGAAATTAGTTAAATTAAAGTTCTACAATAAGATAGAAAATCATTTTTTTGACAAATAATTTAGTTATGCATATTAAAAAAGAGATAGCTGAACTTTTTATCTTTAATTTCATTGGTAATGAATTTAATGCTTTAGGTGAACGTGAAACATTACTTTAATAAAAACATGTGATATTAGTTGCATAATTTATTAATTTATTTTTAATGTTTGCTCTCTATTTTCATGTCTTGAATTATTTTGAGTGTATATATATATATTGAAAGAAATTTTGGTTAGCTAATATAGCCCCCCAAAATCTAAGTGAACCTTTGCCATTGGTGGTAATCATAGGTTTTTTTTTTATCGTTAAGAAAAAAAAATATTTGGTTAATATATAAGGTTCAATGTCAGTTTATGTTAAAACTAATTAAAAATATATTATTCATTAAAATATACATATTATACATTTTGTTCTAAAAATTCCAAAAAAAAAAATAACGGTGGAGAAGCTCCAAAACTAAGGCTTTTTTTAGAGCTGGTGTTTGAATATGAAGTCTATATGAATCTCATAATTAAAAATTAATTACCGAACGACAGAAGAGGGAGCGTTTAGCTTGACAAAACATCACGGCTATCACGTTCTCCAAACGAATGCCTAATTACAATATCAATCCTTTAATACAATTATTGATCCA